TCGTGATATATTTCTTCATAGACAGAAACTGGCATGAATAAAAAACTAGTTCATTCAGTTTTTCTTTTTGGAAAAAATAATTATTGACAAATCAAGATACGAAAGATGGTAAATGTATGCCTGTTATGATAGGGCGGAATTCTTTTGTAATCTAATATACAGAATGGAGGGGAATTGTTGCACTATCTGGATTTCATTACTTTTGCACGTTGATCAATTGCCATGATCATGTTTGGCCATAAGCAACCTGCACTTGTCCAGACAAATGTCAGATAGTTCATGAAAAATAACTCTGCAATTTATGGGAAAGATAATAAGACAGACTATAAATGAGAATAAATAACATGTAATGATATCTCTCATTTATGATAGGGTAAGTCTCTTCTTTGTTTGTGGTACGATGATGGTGAAGCTATATCTTACATGTATTATTTGATATCAATTGTGATGTATTCTTGTAATTTTTCTTTCCTTCCTCTCCATTTCTTTAGGTTTCTGAAGAGGCAAGATATATAAGCACACTGAAATTAGACCGCATTAGGCAATGGCTTGAGCTTCGTGCTAGGATGGAGGAAAATTCTATTGCAGAATCTAATAGCAAGAAAGCTTTTGAAAATGACTTGCAAAATAGCTTGAATACCGTTTTGACTTCAGATGAAATCAGAAGAGCTGCATTCCAGTTTAGTCATGAGGAGCAGCAGCAGAATGTTACTGTATATGTTTACTAAGTGTTTAAGAATATACTCTTTTTTCAGCTGTAGACTAATTTACTTGGTTTTGTAACTCTATTCAAACTCTTTCTTACGATATTTATTGTTCATTTTCATGGCAGGAAAAATGGATGCACATTTTTCGCTCTTTGATTGATGAGAGGGGTCCTTGGTCTGCAAATCCGTTTCCAAACAAGGTAATAGTACACTGGAAACTTGATAAGACAGAAGACACATGGAGGCGGAGACCAAAGTTGCGACAGAATTATCATTTTGATGAAAAATTGTGTCATCCTCCATCTGCTACCCCTGGTAATGAGGCTTCTAATCAAGCCAATGAAAGTAAATCCAATTTTGTGGCACATATTCCTGAGCAAATGAAGCAATTTCTGCTCAAAGGTATACGTAAGATAACTGATGAGGGAGTCTCAGAATCATATGAAAATGAGAGTGAAAATGGGCAGAGGACCTCCATATCTGAGGACCTTCTTGAAAGCCAATACCCTGAGCTAGTTAAAGGAAGCAATGATCAAAATGATGTTGTGCAAGACAGGGATGGACCTTCTTCCCCTCCATCAGAGGCAGAAGCTAGTGACGTATGCTTCTTTGATAACGTTCAATGATAAATGATATTGTGGCCCTGCATTTGATACATAAATGAGATATGGTTTCTGTTTCAGGTTCTTATGTCAGTTTCATGTGTTCTTGTAACAACAAAGAGAAAAGTGGCTGGAAATTTGGCAGTGATGAAAAGTTTTTTGCATTTTTCTGGTGAGTTTTTGGTTGAAGGAACTGGAGGATCGTTCGTTTTTAAGAACTTACATTCTTCAAGCAATTATGATACAACCAAGCCTGATCAGAAGCAGAAACTTTTCAAGTGGCCTATAAATTTTGATTTGAGTTCTGGGAGGATATCTGTTGATAATATAGAGGCTGAAAACTTGCACCAGAAACAATTAAAAAATGTGAAGCGTCATCGGAGATGGAATATTGGCAAGGTAGTAAAACTAAAATAATTTGGTCTTGAGTTGCTTATTTACATATCTTGACAAAATCTGATTCTGGTTACTATTTCTTGTGATTACAGATAAAAGCAGTTCATTGGACTCGATATTTGCTTAGATATACTGCAATAGAGATTTTCTTCAGTGATTCGGTAGCTCCAGTGTTTTTAAATTTTGCATCACAGAAGGATGCGAAAGAGGTTGGGACCTTGATTGTTGCCACCAGAAATGAATTATTATATCCAAAAGGAAGCAGCAAGGACAAGAGCGGAGTTATTTCCTTTGTTGACAGACGTGTGGCTTTGGAGATGGCTGAAACAGCCAGAGAAAGCTGGAGGAGAAGAGATATTACAAACTTTGAATATCTAATGATTCTTAACACTCTTGCAGGAAGATCTTATAATGATTTGACCCAGTATCCTGTCTTCCCTTGGGTTTTGGCTGATTATTCCTCAGAGTTTCTTGATTTTAACAAGTCATCAACTTTTCGGGATCTTTCCAAACCTGTTGGAGCATTGGATTCAAAACGTTTTGAGGTTAGTCTGTAATAATATGTGGGTGTGATTTCTCTTCATTAGTTTTTGCAAATATTTATTGTATTCCATCTGAACAGGTATTTGAAGACAGATACCGTAATTTTTCTGATCCTGATATACCAAGGTGGCCACAAATCCTCCAAAAACATTGTAATCCTTTGACTAATTAAAAAGGATCTTTGACTAATCAATATTTTTGCAATTATGCTATTCATTTTGTTGCAGTTTCTACTATGGTTCTCATTACTCAAGCATGGGTATTGTGCTCTACTATCTCCTCAGATTAGAGCCATTCACCTCTCTACACCGAAATTTGCAGGTAGTCTAATTGATATGTTATAATTTTTTTTTTCTTATGATGTGGGATTTTTTGATATCATTTTCACTAGCCTGATTGATGTTACTATAGGTGCATCATAACTGTTTTTGATGGCAAATGATACATAATACGTACACATTGAACCTGCTGAATTCTGCAGAGATTGGTTTTCTCACCTTGACATTTTTATGGTAGAGGAAATTTCATAAAAAATAAATCGGGCTAATGATAAGGAAAAGATTTATAATTTGTTTCTTCTATTGAAAATGGAAATTATTTAAAAAAAAGATATAATTTATTTGCTTATGCAATGAATTGATGCTCTATTAGGATGCTGCTAAAGGTGTCATTTGTTTATCATACTCCTGATTTGAGGCAACCTTATCATGACGAAGCACAAAGAGTACTTCTAATAAATGTGAAATATGACATTCTTGAAATTTTTAATGTTAAAGTTTTTTTTTGGCCCATGATTTATAAGAAATGCACATTATCAGAACTTTGTTCTGTTGATCTTCATGTGCATTGTTCCTGCAAAAAGTGCATCTCGTTTGGTTGTGACTTTTGGAGCATGATTGAACGGGCTTATCATGCTTTCTTTAAAAAAGGGTTTGAGATGATCCGTTGCTTCATTCTATTTCTATTAACATTTTACTGCATCTGCAACATTTTTGAATTAGATAATTTAGAAATAATTCTTAACCAGACTTATGTTTCATTATACTAAATAGTATAATTAGTGAATGTTTGTTTACTGTGGTTTCTTTTGTGGTTGTTTGTTTTCCAGTCATTTCTTGATTATCGCCTTCTTGGTCTGTGATGATAAGTCTGAAAGCCTCACCAAAATATTGTATTTGGTTAGGGTGGTAAATTTGATCATGCAGATCGTCTTTTTCAAAGCATTGAGGGCACATTTCAAAATTGTCTGTCCAATACAAGTGACGTAAAGGAGTTGATTCCGGAGTTCTATTACTTGCCAGAGTTCCTTGTAAATTCAAACTCTTATCATCTTGGAGTAAAACAAGATGGTGAACCTATCGGAGATGTTTGTCTCCCTCTGTGGGCCAAGGTATGTTAATTCACTCCTGAGTTATTACTATTATTAGTCTTCCTCTTCTTTTCCTTTTTTTCAATAAATGAAGAAATATAAGTAGATAGAAGAAAAAAATAAAAACTCAAGGAGGGTAATTCATCCTCGAAAGGAGAAAAAAAAAAAAAAAAAAAAGCAAAGTAACAAAAGGAACAAAGTAGATGCACTATTAATACACTATGTCATTGACATGACATCCACGTGGATTAGAAATATACACATCATCAATGACGTGTGCTGACTTCTAATGGTGTCATCAAGCAATGACAGTAAGGGGGTAATTTTAATATTTTAAAAAGTTGAGGGTTGATTTAAACAAAAAAATAATAGAATAGAATTTGAACATTTTTCAGAACTTGAGGGTGAAATTAGATATTTTAGCCATTGAAAAACCATGACCACCATTGGTTGTGTTCTATACCCAAAGTTTACAGAAGGGATTACTAATAAATTACTTGCACTAGTGCTTTTAAATTATATATTCCATGTTTATCCTTTTGTAGAAAAACTTACTTCAAAATTATTTAAACAGGGTTCAGCTGAACTATTCATAAGTCGAAACAGAGAGGCCCTTGAAAGTGAATTTGTTAGCTCAAACCTGCATCACTGGATTGATTTGGTTTTTGGTTACAAGCAGCGCGGAAAACCGGCAGTGGAGGTACTCTACCACTTACTTGAATTTACTGGTTTTTGTATATTCTCTCTCAGTTGCTCCATATTTGAATTAGTAAAATGTTTTCTGTTAAATTTACTGATTGTTTTCAATTTGGACTACAGGCAGCAAATATCTTTTATTATTTGACTTATGAAGGTGCTGTGGACCTGGACACCATGGAAGATGAATTGCAGAGATCAGCGATTGAAGACCAAATTGCAAACTTTGGTCAGACTCCAATCCAGATATTTCGCAAGAAACACCCAAGAAGAGGCCCGCCCATCCCAATTGCACACCCATTGTACTTTGCACCTGGCTCTATTAATTTGAGTTCTATCATTCCTAGCGTCAATTATCCACCATCAGCTGTCTTATATGTTGGTGTAGTGGATTCAAACATTGTCCTTGTGAACCAGGGCCTTACCTTGTCTGTTAAGATGTGGTTGACAACTCAACTTCAATCTGGTGGAAATTTTACTTTCTCTGGTTCTCAGGTTTG